ACACTGCCTTATTTTCTGCATATGGAAGTAAATGTCAACATTGCGGCCGATGATGTGCATAGTTGATGCACAGAGAGGCCATCTTCACACACAACACAATACAGTTGTTGTCACTATTGTGGTATATGGTTATGTTTGGTTTATTTAGATGACAACCACATTCAGGACTCATGACCCCATTTTAGTGACTGAAATGTGGCATTCTCTGTATAAAAGCTGCTGATGGTCAATTGGGATTTGACAGATGAACTTGTGCTGTTGAGCTTTTATCGTGTCAACTGACTGTAATAAGACATTTCAGATGTCGCCATCTTTGATATTTACTTTATTTATTGTCACTATTGTTCAGTTTGAGTAGTTTAACTGCTTCTAATTACGATTAGTTGCCTAGAATTCTTCCGCATTGAAGAAAACATACATCTGAGTGTAACGGTTTATTGAAAAAGAAAAAAAAAATGTAGTGACTTGGTATATTTCAACATTCCCACCCCCCTGGAATATTCACATTCAAGTGAGGATTCGACCCCCCCACCCCCCCCCCCCCCCCCACCCCCAATGAAGAAAATCACATCGGGCTATTTTTGGGATATTTTTTTTATTTTTGACCCTTCAACCCTAAGGTAGATGAACCATGCTGATAGTTTCTACGTGTGATTTGGGAGTGATATTCCCAGAAATAATCTTTTTGCTGATGTGTAAATTTCCCCCCGTGGGAGTACAATCATCAGACCATTTTCTCAATAATTCAGAAATCGAGTGTCATATTTGCTCTGCTGTATGGTGTACGATAAACACAATAAGGAATAACTCTCAATGATTTATGCACAGTTTATGTGGTTATTCAGCCATTCCGTAACACAAATCTCATGGGCCAAACATATCATAAAATATTATTAGAGTATTGTTTTCCTAAAAAGCAGCCTGCTGGAGTGGGATGAAGCCAAGTGTGAGGGTTCAGTGTCTGTGTAGGCTTTGGCTGTAAGACCAGGGCAGGGCAGACTATGTTGCTGTGGTCGTTTTATAGCCAGCAATCTCTGCCTGCGACATTTAAAACATAATTATTTTCATGCATCACCCTGAGAGTTTAAGAAGAGGCGGACACAGACCTGTGCTGTTATCACACAGGATCTTTTCAGAACATTATTGTTTTTAGTCACTTCACACTGATTTCACACTCACATCCTCATTGTAGTGATGCAAGAACATATGTTTGTTTGCTGTGGTTTCCTCTTGTCACATACAGCATAGAATGAGAAAAGGGTAAATTTACTGTTGCCAAACAAGGCAAGATGATATTTTGTTCCCAGCAGAAGATGCTAGGGGGTGTGTGCTAGGTTTTGGGGGTGTAGAAAAGCAAAAACACTGTGGCATTCTCTACAGCCCCGGAGCCGTTTTTCATTACTCACTTGACGCCATTCTTAAACACATACAGATGTTTCCGTATAAGCAATCTGGATAGGTTTTGTGTGTCAAACCTGGAAATGTGACAAATGCAAATCGTAGCGCGCCCATATGATTGTGCATAAATTATTGTAAATTGATGTCCGGTAAGTTAACCCAGCTTATAAATAGTTATAGCTGCAGGACTTGATTACCACAAAAAAATTAACAGAGTGTCAACAAGTCATAACAGTTTTAGAAATACTATATGAAGTGAGAAATCATCCAACATTATTATAACAAAAACAGTGCAAAAACCAAACCTGACCACATCAGCAAGTTTTGTCATGCTATGTGGATTTTGGTTTCTTTCTAAATAAAGCGCAACGGCCAACATATGTGTGTGTGGTTGTTATGCAAATCCGTATTGAAAGTTTTTGTACATTTGACATTTCCCATCCTCGAAGGCTCGTCCTCAGAAGGGTTTTCATGGCCAAACTTTAAATGAACAACAGCACTCTCCACATCAAAGTCAGAAAAACATAAACAGCAGTATATTTCCCTTGTTTTATTTTTAAGTTTAAAGAGTCACTCCCTTGTTGTCTAATGAGAAAGTTGGTCTTTTTGTGGATTTACTCTATATCAAGCAATATTTTCACACATCATGTATATATATAATGAAAATTATTAATAATAAAATAATATATAATATTTCTACACTCTTAACTTAAAGAGTATGGAAACCCGTTTCCTTAATTTTAAGTTATAAACTTAATGCGTTCTGTGAATTTTTTCAATTATGCATGAAGTTTACTTAATAATTTTAAGGCAATTGGTTTCCTCACTTTTTAAGTTAAGTCAACTGATCACTTTTTACAGTGTAAAAAAAGTGCGTGTGTGTGTGTGTGTGCTAATGGTGCATGTAAACATGGTATAGGACTTGCTATTTGAAATAAATGATGTAATTAAGATAAGAGCAACTTACAAAATTGTGTCAGAATTGGCAAATTTCTAACAAATTTCCTAATATATGTTAGTTACACAACCCAAACTTGCACGTCATTGCACTCACACACACATAATGGTTAAAAATGACCTCTTTTATTATATTGTGATCTTTATTATCCTTTTAACAAATCAAACGCATTTTCCAATACAACTCCTCCCACAGGATACAGACATGACATACAGTGCACCACAAAACTATTTCTGAATAAATGCTCTCAACATCTTTGATAAAGTATGCCCTATATATGGTTATGCTTTCTATAGTGATTTACTTTAAAATCTGGTAAAACAGAAATACAGACTACAGTTCCAAACCTCTTGATGGTTGTTTATGAAAGAAAGTAACAAGACTAAACCTCAACTGGGATGCACTCGTCCTGAAGTGTTGTATATCATGACACAAACAACTCAAACAAGGATTCCTTGCCCTTGGCATCCACTAAATCTGAAACTGACAATGAAGACTCATAAGCAAACCGCATCTCATCTACAAATGTGAAAACACTGAATTCTGAATTCACACATATGAATTCTAAAATGTTGCTGCTATTTCCCTGTTTGTCTTGTCCAGTTATGTGCAATTAAGCATCTGTGTTATTAAGTTGTTGAAAGCGATTGATTAATGCCTGTTTGTGATTAGGTTTCATCATTCGCTCCTGATGAAATTATCTAAAAGGATGTTGCATTTGTGTCGGAAGTGTCTCAGACACAAGAATGTCGTAATGCAATTCAGTTTTACTGGTATACGTCCATCTCTGTGTCAAAAGCCATTACTGAATGTGATTTATGCCACTGGCTCTATGCAGTGTGAATGTATACTAAGCTGAGTTTGTTATCTTGTACATTTCCCTACCCTATTCTCTATTCTGTTCTTAGAGTAACAATTTATTTATAAAATAAGCACGTCATTTTATTTATGTCCTTAAAAGAACAAAATATACAGGCAGTCACCACCCCCACTGTAGGTGCTGATTCATTATCAAGCGTATTGAGAGAGCGGAAATGAATTTTCATGCCCAAAATAGAGATATGCGTTATAAATGAGATACTTTTAGTTATAACAGAAGTGTTTCCTGTCACAGGAAATTATGTTATATATGACGCTATTAATGTGATTCATTTGTTGATGTGTAGGCCTATACCAAGAAATTACAGGTGTTTTACATTATGCGATGTGTGCGTGAGAACATGTTCCTAAAACAAACATTTAGACACCAGCAAACAAAATTAGGAAATTAGCATATGATTGTGTTTTTTTGCACCACTTTAGAACACTTACATCCTCATTTTCAAAAGCATCATTAGGCAACTTTTCTGAACATCAATAGCCGATTGCTGCATTTTTTGCAGAAACCAGAGCAATTTATGTCCATGATTTCCTTGGGCCAAAACTGCTCAGAACCTGCATGTCAATACAGCACAGACTAACATGAATACACTTGCGCAACATTGAATTTTGTAAGATCATAGCTGCGTTAGACTATGACAATCCAACACTATCTCATGGCAATTTGTTACTACGTTTTGGCAAATTGCTGGCTATTTCAAATGAATTCATGCATCTCATTCTTATGTATTTATGTCCATTCCTAAACACAACCGTCACTTACGCCCCATGCCATTTTTTTTTCTAATAATCATATGTTTTGCCACCTTGTAACATAATTTTCTGTGAGATCAGGTTGATCTTTCAGCTTCATGAATGTTGTACAATTTATCTGGCACCTTTACAGTTTATGGGTTTCCCAAAATGCACCAAAAAAAATGGCTCCACCAAAAAAAAAAAAAAAAAAAAAAAAAAACTTTGTAAACACCCCTTGAAAAATCAATTTATTTTACATTAAATTTATTATAAATAGCCAACATTTATACATATGTACATTTACATACATATATCCAATTGCTAAAAATGTATGTATGTATGTATGTTTATATATGAAGAGTTCAGATGCAAAAGCCTCTAAATGCCATTTGAAATGTTCTTCTTTAATGATGATTTTTATCAAACTTGTATATTTAAGTTTAGTAATTTCACTTGAATGGCAATGATAATTACCTATTAATTGTTATTTAAGTGAAATTACTGAACTTAAATATACAAGTTTGATAAAAATCATCATTAAAGAAGAAAATTTCAAATGGCATTTAGAGGCTTTTGCATCTGAACTCTTCATATGTATTTAGCATAAAAACATGACACTAAAATTATATTTATGTAAAAGAAAACTGTATTTATGTAAAAGAAAAGTACTGTTTATTCACTTTTATTTTACATAAATACAGTAATATTCATATATATTATATTTTGCATATAAATTTATGCAATATATTTATGTTTATTAAATGTATTATATTTATATTAAAGATACTTAATACAAATATATGTTTTTTTTTAAGTGACCATTTTGTTTAAGAAGCTAGATAAAATACAAGACAGTGTTTGTTGTCATCTTTTGTGTCTTTAAGCTCAATGTGAGGTTGCTGGAAATCCCCTTGTTTTTTGAATGGGCAAAAAAAAAAAAAAAGAACTCATACTCCAGTGGGCAAGTGTGTGGTTAGTGGGAGTACTAAAATGACCTACAGGAGGTGGGGTGGGTGCGCAGTGACTAATCCTTGAGGTGCATAAATACTGCCTTCAGGGCACAAGAGAAGACAGACAAATCAGGACGAGAAGACACAAGAAGATTGCATGCACTTTTTCTCCCTGGAAGACTGTTTTTCTAGTTTTGAGTCTATTTTCTTTTTGAAGTTTACTTTTTTCTAAGCTTTGCTTCTTGGCTTGAAACTCTAAACATGAGACTTGGAGTTGTGGTGGTTCTGGTTCTTGGAACCTGCTCTTTGAGAGCTTGGTCCGCACCGCTCAAATCTGTGTTTGTGACGTTCCCTGGAGATGTGATCAAGAATATGACGGACAATCAGCTGGCAGAAGTGAGTATATACATTTTTAGTTCATGGTTTTTATGATTATGGAGATCTACTTTCAGTCCTCTACTTTGAAAATAGTACAAATGCAGTTGTATCATTCTAAATGAATACCTTCCTACATAAATATTTGCCTCCAGGAATACCTGAAGCGTTATGGCTACATAGATGTCCTCCAGAAGAGCGGACTGCAGGCAGTCGTGTCCACTTCTAAAGCTCTGATGAAGCTCCAGCAGCAGCTCGGGCTCGAGGAGACGGGGTCGCTTGACCAGCCCACCATTGATGCCATGAAGCAGCCTCGCTGTGGGGTCCCAGACATCCGAAACTATCAGACATTCGAAGGAGACCTGAAGTGGGATCACACTGATGTAACATACAGGTGGGATATTATCTGCACCAAACGTTTGACTATACTACACTTTTAAATCTCATAAGTTTGTGATGAGCATGTTGTAATTGTGTTGACTTTTCAGGATTTTGAACTATTCACCGGACATGGAAGCCCCTTTGATCGATGATGCCTTTGCCAGAGCTTTCAAAGTCTGGAGTGAAGTTACCCCTCTGACGTTCACACGCCTCTATGATGGCACTGCTGACATCATGATCTCCTTTGGGAGAGAAAGTGAGTTAATTTTTGTGTAATATATAAACGTTTTAAGATTAAACACTTGAACTTCTGAGAAGGTTTGAATGAACTGTTGTTTCGTTTCAGATCACGGAGATCCCTACCCTTTTGATGGGAAAGATGGACTGCTGGCTCATGCCTACCCTCCAGGTGAGGGAATTCAAGGAGATGCCCATTTTGATGATGATGAATACTGGACCCTTGGATCTGGACCAGGTGAGTGAGATTCTTACTTATATTTCAATACAGTATGAATGGCTCTGATAAATAGTTAAAATATCATGAAGCACAACAGTTTCAACAGTTACAATAGCTCCCTCTACAGTTTTGAGTGTTTAGTGACAGTCAGAGTGTGTCCTAAAACGGGTTGTCAAACCGGGTAAATATTTAAAGTATTTGCTTTGGGTTCGTTTTAATAACCATAAAAAAAGCCAGTTACTTGATTTTGTTTTTATAATATCACACTTAATTTTACTCATATAGAATAAATGAGTCCTTAATTGTTCAAATATCTAGGTCTGTTTTTAAACTGGGGTCCGATTATGACCCCACTCGATTTCATATATAGTATAAATAAACCTGTCTGACTGTTAAATAAAAATAAATAAATAAATAAACCCTTAGATGTAAAAAAAAAAAAAAGTATATCTCGCGTCCCTCACATCATGTTTCTCCCTATAAATTTCATTTATATATAAATTTGTGGATTAGACAATGACATTGATGTGTCTCCTTCAGCCATTCAAACCCGCTATGGTAACGCCGAGGGTGCAATGTGTCACTTCCCCTTCCTGTTTGAGGGAACATCCTACTCCTCCTGCACCACAGATGGCCGCACAGATGGTATCCCCTGGTGCGCAACCACTGCAGACTACGACAAGGACAAGATATTTGGCTTCTGTCCCAGTGAGCGTAAGTGTTTCAGTAATGATTTTTAATAGGGCTTTAATTCCAAAACAGACTTTTAAACGGACTCCTTTGCCCATAATATGTGGAATTAATGTGACAGTATTTCAACAAGCACAAGCGTTTATTCTTTGAGCATATCTAACATTCCACCTCTGTTTTCCAACAGTTCTCTTCACGTTTGATGGGAACAGCAATGAAGCACCGTGTGTTTTCCCCTTCGTGTTTCTGGGGGTAAAATATGACTCATGCACCACGGATGGACGAACTGATGGGTATCGTTGGTGTGCCACTACAGCTAACTTTGACACTGATAAAAAGTATGGATTCTGCCCTAACAGAGGTAAACAGCTCTCAAGACTCAACCCTGAAAGCAAAAATAATATGTTCTAAAAAAATATATGTTCTCTCAGCAGTTCATAATCAGATTTTATTTTTTCACTACCATATAGCATTTATAGCAATTTTTACAGTATATATCTAAGATATTTAATGATTTATAATATAATATTTTCCTCTCACAGATACAGCTGTGATTGGTGGAAATTCAGAAGGAGAGCCATGTCAGTTTCCTTTCATCTTCCTGGACAAGACATACACTTCCTGCACCAGTGAAGGCCGTGGTGATGGAAAACTCTGGTGTGCAACTACAAGCAACTATGACACAGATAAGAAATGGGGATTTTGCCCTGATAAGGGTAAGTGATAATCATCTCCTTCAGACACTATAGAAATTTGATAGTGAGAGATTATCTTACATGCCTTTTCTCTCATAGGATACAGTCTGTTTCTGGTGGCTGCTCATGAGTTTGGTCATGCACTTGGCTTGGATCACTCCAAAATTAAAGACGCTCTGATGTATCCCATGTACAAATATATAGAGGATTTCTCCTTGAATCAGGATGACATTGAAGGCATTCAGTATCTCTATGGTATTTATCCGCCATCATTCAAAGTTCACTATGCATTCTCTTATTCAAGATTCAAGAATTTGGATCTTGACACTTAAGAGTCTGGTCAATTCTAAATTTATAGCTATATTTTTCTTCTTTTTTTTTTTCAGGACCTAAAACTGGCCCTAATCCCACTCCTCCAAAACCAAAGACCACCACTTCCTCTCCGGTTGTGCCAACCAAACCCACCCCAAGTGAAAAAACAACCACTGTCTCCACCACAACACATGTAGGTCCATCACAGGATGCCTGCGAAATCAAGGAATTTGATGCCATCACTGAAATCCAGAAAGAGCTTCATTTCTTCAAGGATAGGTAAAAACTGTTACATATACTGACATGAAATCGCAAACATAACTCAGGCCACATCCAAATTCTCAAATACATCTATTTTTTAACATCTAAGGCATTACTGGAAGATCTCAAGCAATGGAGAACGCAAAGGCCCTTTCTTGATATCAGAGAAGTGGCCTGCCCTGCCAGCTACCATTAACAGTGCCTTTGAGGAACCCCTCACTAAAAAGATCTACTTCTTTGCAGGTACTTATTTATCGGATTGAGATATTCTGCCATTTTTGCAGAATATGTTGAAGTTCAGATATATAACTGTCTTTCATGCACACAGATAAACAGTTCTGGGTTTATACTGGAAAAGAGGTGCTTGGGCCACGTAAAATCGAGAAGCTCGGCCTCCCAAGCGACTTGGACAGAGTGGAGGGAACTGTGCAGAGAGGAAAAGGCAAGGTGCTCCTGTTTAATGGAGAGAACTTCTGGAAGTAAGTAACTTTGCTATGACTGTAACTGATCAGAAAGTGTAGAAAGAGTTCATAGCATTGAGTTAACGATGGGAATGATAATTGTAGTTTTTCACAGAATTGTCTTATCTCTTATTTATTGTCACAGACTTGATGTGAAGGCTCAGATGATCGACAGTGGATACCCTCGATCCACCGACTCAGTTTTTGGTGGAGTGCCCATCGATTCACATGACGTGTTCCTCCACAAGGGTAAGTGAAATAATGTTCAAGTTCATCTGATAATTCATAAAATCTGATTTATTGATCAAGCAAATTAAATTTGTTCTTTCTATTTTTCATTATTTTGCAGGATTCTTTTACTTCTGCCGGGAAAGTTTCTACTGGAGAATGAATGCCAAAAGGCAGGTCGATCGTGTCGGTTATGTGAGGCACGACCTCCTGAAATGCTAAGATGTGCAGTCGCTCGGCACAGTGAAGACGTCCAACATCCTAACCTGATGATGACAGAGCCCTTTTTAATAGGGAAACCATTTCTCTTCTGTGTAAAATGTAGCGAGGAAGGCACAGACAGAATGTATTAAATTTTAAGTCCTGTTTTGGGGATTTTGACTTTAACTGTTATGGGAGAAGAACAGTTTTAACACTGAAATTATCGTAGGCACATGAAACGGGATGTTAGGCATATTTGTCTCATTGTCTGTCAGCTTTAACTTGGTCTTATAATTTAATATTTCAGCTTACTATATAAATGCTTTGGTCATGATGAGTTTCTTAACAGCACATAGGAGAAACTAGAATCTTGTTCTATACAACTGCAATGAGGCAATGCCAGTGTAACTCGACTTTGTGTTTGTAAATGTATGAGTGGAGTCACCACAGGAACATTGTAGCCTTGAAGCATTTGTTGACAACCAAGCCTCTATTCTCTTTGTTGACCCACTCAGATGTTTTTCAAAGCAAAGGTTTATTTTTAGCCTTAGAGCTAATGTTGAGATGTTATTAAGCCCAGATTTTGGTGTATTGTGTAATCATTTGCCTGGTGTAAATGATAATATTAATATTATTAATTTAATGTTCCACTTATTTATATTGTATTTGTTTGCTGCATTATGTTTACTCAATAAATTTGTAAACAAGACCATTCAATATGTGCAACTGCTCTTTCATTAGTATTTGGCCTGCGTGAAAACACACTACAATCTATTGAAAAGTGAATTTACTAAAATCGGGTGCTTTTTTGGCAAAAAGGTGATACAAGTTTGGAATATATTCAATAACTGCAGATGGTTTAAAACAAAAAAAAAATATTTGACATGTAGCAGGTGATTCATATTGAAAGTAATAAAGAGGTTCAAGCTTGTATGTGCCATATTTATATTGTATGTATCCATAGATGTCCACACATTCACCCCACATATTTACTTTATTAAAACAGTTCTCAGTTTTTATTACAATTAGGCAATTACTCATAAAAATGCTATGTACAAGAAAGTAAAAACTGTCGAGATATGAGGGAATCTAAAATACTTGGTGAATTTCAGGGAATGCTTTTGGTATTCATTTGATGAAAAAGCGGTTTAATTTAATGCTGCTCTACCAAAAAGCCGTTTATGATTTTCTTAAATTTACCTTACGAGTAAACGCACAAATAAGTGAAAAAGGTGGTCTATTTCTAGAATTAAAATCTACATTTAAAATAATTAATTCATTGCAGGACGACCACATATGTAATGTGGTTTAATGCCACATATCCACAGCATGAATTCAACAGAATGCAAATTATATAATGAAGAATACCAAGTGACCCTTCACATTCAATCTGAGAAAAGAGATGCTTCTTTTGGCGTAATCAAAAAACGTATAAATGAGAATTTCAAGATAAACAACCCGCGTCATATTACTCCGCGAGACATTCAGTGGTTTCATCCTCTCAGAGCAATAGTCCTCCGGTTCACACCATTACTTGACAAAACACTAAAAAGATGAAGCGAAATGGTCGATATGCATGTTCTTAAGATCAAATTTGACTTAAAAAATATCGTGATACATTATAAAAACCGATTAAGCGTTTATCCCACTTGTCTTTTCCCCATGACAGATAAATGAGTTCCGGCCAGCTCTGAGGACAGGAAGCGAGGAGACGCTGATGGCGCCCGACTAGAAAGCACAGCAACTATTCGCTTTCGAAGATTTATTTATTTCGCCTCATTCGCGAGCTTGAAGAGCAAAACAATCACCCATTTACGGTAAGAAAAATTCCTAGCTCAAAATAGTGGGGGGAAATTGTTTACAAATACAGCTTCTTCCATGATGGCCGAGAGAAAAACATTCGGGCGGACTGGCTCTCCCTGCTCACGCAGGCCCTCGAGGTCCCCGAGCGGTTCTTCATATCGCCTGAGCGGAAAAAAATAAACTCGATTCGGCGGGAGGGAAAATGGCGCTGCGCAAGCAGGCAGGAGGAAGGGCAGCACATAGTCATTTGAAAACGATCAAGACAAGAGTAGCCTAGCTAGCCACAGTTCATGCGGGGCTTCAAGCTTTATTTGGAACTATTGCTGTGGCATTGTCTCTATAAAGCTGTCAGTGTGCTCAACATTAAAACGTGTTAATTAGTAAGAAGCAGGACCTTGATGTCCTTGAGAATTTTGAGTCTAAATATAGGTGTTTTTTGTCCAAAACACAGCCAGATGGGTGCTCTGGTGGGGAGGGATTAATATGAGTTGGCGTATTGTTAAAATCAAATGTTTTAGTGTTTGTTTACGTTTTGTTTTTGCTTTTAAAGTTCACTAAATGCAGAGACCACGTTGGCTTGTGGTTTCGCTGGTAATGCTTATTAAGTACTTAACTTAAGTGACCTAGAAAAGCGCTATCACAAGACATGCATGCATTCATCCCCTGGGGGAATTTGAGACGTGTGTTAAAACAAAAAAAAAGTTACTTCATTTGACATAAATCACACAGTAGGGCAATAAAATTTCATACAAAACAACACAACATATAATGTGATAATATAAATAATAGATGTGAATAAAATGTGTTATGTAATTAATTATTTAGAAAATTCTAAGTTGTGTAACAAGGTGCTTGTACAAATGCAGTGTGAATTAATGTTTATGTGAATGAATGAAAAGAATACCATGAATATATCCAAAGTGTATTGAATTAAACATATATATATACACACATACACTAACCTAAAGGATTATTACTAGCCTAAAAGATTATTAGGGAACACCTTACTAATGCTGTGTTTGGTCCCCTTTTGCCTTCAGAAGTGCTTTAATTCTACGTGGCATTGATTTAACAAGGTGCTGAAAGCATTCTTTAGAAATATTTGCCCATATTATTCATAGAATAGCATCTAGCAGTTGATGGAGATTTGTGGGATGCACATCCAGGGCACGAAGCTCCCGTTGCACCACATCCCAAAGATGCTCTATTGGTTTGAGATCTGGTGACTGTGGGGACCATTTTAGTACAGTGAACTCATTGTCATGTTCAGGAAACCAATTTGAAATGATTCGAGCTTTGTGACATGGTGCATTATCCTGCTGGATGTAGCCATCAGAGGATGGGTACATGGTGGCCATAAAGGGATGGACAGGTTCAAAAACAATGCTCAGGTAGGCCGTGACATTTAAACAATGCCCAGTTGGCACTAAGGGGCCTAAAGTGTGCCAAAAAAAAACATCCCCCACACCATTACAGCACAACTACCACAAGCCTGCACAGTGGTAACAAGGCATGATGGATCCATGTTCTCAGTCTGTTCATGCCAAATTCTGACTCTACCATCTGAATGTCTCAACAGAAATTGAGATTCATCAGACCAGGCAACATTTTTCCAGTCTTCAACTGTCCAATTTTGGTGAGCTCTTGCAAATTGTAGAGCTCACCAATTATTCAGGAGATTGTCTTGACCAGGACCACAGCCCTAAATGCATTGAAGCCACTGCCATGTGATTGGTTGATTAGATAATTGCATTAATTATTTTAATAATTTTTAATAATTGAATTAATTTAATGATAAAATAAATAAATAGTAAATGCAGTAATATTGTGACAGTATTATTCCTTGATAAATAAAAAATGTAAAAGAACAGCATTTATTTGAAATCTAAAGTTTGTAATAATATAAATGTCTTTACGGATACTTTAGATCAGATTAATGCAAAATCTTACTGACCTGGCTTTTGAACATTAGTGTGTTAAATCATTTAGATAATTATTCATATAAATATTAAAATACTGAACATCCACTGAATTACTTTAATGCATCAAAATATTATTATTATTATAAAATTATTATACTTAATTACACTTTACATTATGCACTTGTCCGCACGTCTTTCGTATCCTAGCATTTATCATTCAGGACACATTCAATGCTGTATAACCGAGTGACAGACACTTTCCCATAGAGCAGAGATGGATTCTGATGACATGGAGGTGGAGAGCAGCAGTGATGTGGGGCATTCTGGGATGGAGGAGCCATCAGAAAGCGGCATGGGCATGGAGTCTTCAGAAGCCATGTCTGCTGATAGCAGCGATGCGGCCGCTCCTCCTGCCCCGGCCCCAGAATCAGACTGTCATGTTGGACAGAGCTCCGAGGGACTTGTGGTAAGTCAAGTTATCCACACATCTGCATAGCTACACATGTTAGTGTGTAATTCTTCATTTCCAGTTTTTTCTATGGGTGGGTGTTTTTTAGGTTTTTATCCCAGAGACAAGCTCCAGTACAGATGTGCAAAGAGTTCATCTCCCAGACTCCTCTTCTGTCGCCCAGTCAACCAGTGTGTCCAGCGTCTCCACTGTGACACAATCGGTCCTGGTTTCGGAGTCTGTCCAGGTCCTGGTGCACTCTAGTGCTGTTTCTGAAGGAGGAATGATGGTTTCTGATTCCACTGCTTCCACGTCCTCAGATCTTGGCTCGGCTATTGATAAGATAATTGAATCTACCATTGGACCCGACATTATGAATGGTAGAAAAACTTTGCCTCTTCATTTTTATTACACTCAAGGTATTCAAGTTTAATATTCAATTTAAATACTGTGTTTTTATGCCCATTTTACAGGATGTATTGCAGTTACAAGTGCAGAGGATGGCAGTGCAGAGACCACACAATATCTAATACTGCAAGGTCCTGATGATGGTGAGAAAGATCCCCAGAGTTCACATTTTAGGGCTGCGTCTGAAATCACATATTCTTTGAGTAGGTTCATCTTTTGTAAAAGTACTTACTTTTAAAAATAGTGTCTTCTACATGGTATGAATGTAATCCAGATGGGACCTACAGCCATTCAAAAACCCCTTCCCGCGGCCTCATGGGATAGTAAAGTGTCCATACTAGGATGCGCACTTTAGAATCTTGCTAGTAGTAGTAAGTCATCCTGCATCCTGGTGCTTTTTGTCTACTGTTTTATGAATACCGTTAATTTGCCTGTACTACTATTTTCACATACCGTTTTTAACACAACTACTCTACGTATAGTAGGTTTTAAATTAAATAAAATAATAGTTAAAGGGATAAATAAATTAAAGGGATAGTTTAGCAACAAATGTAAACTCAGTCATCATTCACTTAACCTCATGTCATTGGAAAGTAAATTTGTTTATTTTTCAATGGAACACAAAATTAGTTATTTACCTGCCCAGTCTGCTGTTTTCCATACAATAAAGGAGAGTAGGAACTGGGGCTGTAAATCTATGAAAACGTACCATAAAATTGACCATGCAATACTTTTATAGTGCTTTTGTTCTTTTTGGGAGGTTGGCAGCCCCAGTATATTCCACAGAAAAATGGAAATCAAATGGGCATGATTGAGCATGAAACATCATGAGCATGAATACATTATGGACGATTTTTCATGTTTGGCTAATTTATATATTCATATGGCAATGTTATTAGTTATCTTGTAGTAAAATTCCCTTTACTTGTTCTCAGCATAATCTTTGTGACAAATCTAGATTTTGAAGTTGTTAATCAATGTATTGTTTGACCCAAATATGCTTTCGTTACTGCCAATGCTTCACTCACCCTCATGTCATTCCAAACCTGAATGACTGACTTTCTTTTGTGGAACAAAAGAAGCTATTTTGAAGAATATTTGTAACCAAACAGATTCAGTTACTTGCATTCAATTTGCAAAACACACAATGGAAGTCAATGGGAACCAGAACTGTTTAGAAGTTACACAGAAGAAAGAAAGTCATATGGGTTTGAATTGATATGAGGGCGAGTAAATGATGACACAATGTTCATATATAAGTGAACTATTCCTTTAAAAATCAAATAAATTAGCAGAAATAAAAGAGAAGTGGGGTAGTTTTTGGATATTCAGAAATTTTCGTTGTTCACTGTGTGTGTAGGAGCTCCTATGGTGGCTCGGATGTCTTCCTCTGCCCTGTCAAGCCGCATTGCCATTGAAGCCCTTGCTGATGGGCCCACCTCCACTTGCCTGGACCAGGCAGACCTGTCAGAAAACCCGCAGGGCAGCGTGGAACCCGACCAGCCTGGACACTCCGGATACCGTGAGCACGATGACAGCAGCAGCAGCTGCAGCCGCCCAGACCAGCCTCAGCACTCCCAGTACATAGAATGCAGTGGAGGAGACGACCCAGACCAGACCAGGGAGGCTCGGTACATCGAGCGCTCGGGAACCGAACCAGATCAGACCCCACGTCATTCTGGTGTCACAGACTACAACGTGGCTGACTCGGAAGAACCTCTACGGCGTTATGCAGCAGAATGCAGCGGTACAACTGATAGTCCTCAGAGATCCTCGTTTCGCTCCTCCCGCTATGTTGTAGAGTGCAGTGATGGGTTTTTGGAGTACGGGACGGAGCGGCCGCAGCATTCACGTTATATCGACAGCAGCATGGATGACAGGGATCACGTCTCGGCCTCGGAGCAGGAAGATAGTGTGGTGGAAGAGCCCCAGCACTCCTACATGTCCCATGGCTCACTGTATGCCGACGAGGGCTCTGTTCGCCACTCCCTAGCTGACACGATGGGGTCCCAGCTCAATCATCAAATGGACTGCAATGATAACTTGCCTGGCCCATACATAAGTAGCAGTGGGACATATTCCACCCAACCAGATCCTGAGGTGGTGGGGTCTGGGGTGGTGGTTGAGTCTGGGCGCAGAACCCCAGACATGGCCGAACTGGAGGAAATGATGGAGGTGGTGATCGTCCAGCAGTTTAGGTGTAGGATGTGCCCATATAAAAGTGCCTCTAAGGATACACTCATCAACCACATGAGAGATAAACACTTTAAACCAGCAGGTAAAGTAGGAGGTGCTAATTATGTCTTTGTCAAATGTAAAAAAAAAGCCTAATCTCAGTCCCATTAATAGCCCCGTCCCAAATAACGCTCTCAAACCTTGCAGTCCTTATCCAGGACTATACTTTGTGCTCGACACATTATAGGAAGGTGGTGAAGAAAATAAAGTTAGAAATAATACAATTTTAATTGAACAGTCTTAAAGTTACCATGAAATATGATAGATGGACAATATTGTACTGTATTATAAATCATTTATTCATTTTTTTATGTACCCTAATCGAAATTACTTCCCCTCCCACTTGCAACAACATCTCTTTTATGAGGATGAGGCAAGTTGTCACTCGCATGAGATTGCAGCAATAGTAAACCACACTTATCCAAACAATTCCCAATGGACAAGTCAGACTTTTTCATGCCGACTTTGAGTTTCTATCAGGTCTTGATTTATGCGTACAGTTTTTTTAGGTTCTCTAGTTCAGGGTGTGCTATCTCACAAGCAGGTGTTCCAGGCCAAAAGAAACGTGGACGGGGACGTCCAAGAAAGTCCGAAAGCAAGGCAAGAGGGGTCGGTGAGGTCAAAAAGGAGGAGCCACCAGAAGAGGAAGATGATGACATCATAGATGCGGGCGCTCTTGATGATCAAGGTTAGTGGAGTGCAGTTTGCATATATTCATAATTTTTCGGGGGTTTTTTTAATGCAGTTTTAATTCGCATTCAGGTGACAGTGATTATAAGCCAGCTGAGGAAGAGGCCAGGCCCAAATTGGTTCCCAGTCACTCAACTCCTCCTTCCTGCTCTTCATCCTCTTCCTCTACCTCACGGAAACGTCCCCGCAGGATGGTGGGGCCACCTCGCAAATTCCTTCCTGAGTCAGGTCAAAGTTAATTTAGCTTCTTGAGTCGCAGAAATATATTCAATAAAATTTTACAATTTATTGTAATTTTTAGCTAGTTGCATTCAGATATTTAAATGTAACTTTTTCATTGGTCTGGGATAACTCTTATTTTCACCTTTTTATAAAACAGAGACAGCAGCAGTGTCTCAAACGAACAATGCAGAGGACCCTCAAGCTCCTGAGGAAGCAAGTTCCTCTGGATTGGAGAATGGAACTTCCTCATTATCAAATGGGACGGCAGCGGAGCCAGGCGTCAGCCAGTCAGATTCAGAGAACAAAGATCCATCATCAAACACAAGCCACGATGACCTGGAGTCTTTGCCCAAAAAACGAGGCCGGCCTTCAAAACGTTTCCTTCAGAAGAAGTACAAAAAGTACATGAATCGCAAGTATGTAATGCTGGCACTACTTTTTGATCATCACAACTACATTTGATTGATTTGAATATCTTAGAATATTTTAGAATCCAATAAAACTAGATATTCTGGGCAGTCAATATCTCATTTTTTCTTTTTAAGTAAATACTACAGATCACTTAAGCCTTTGCTAAGGCCTCATAACTGCTGGATCTGTGGCTCTCGCTTTCTTTCACAAGAGGATCTCAGATTCCACGTGGATTCTCATGAGGGAAACGACCCTGAACGCTTCAAGTGCCTGCAGTGCAGCTACCGTTGCAAACGGTGGTCCTCACTGAAGGTAAGAACTAGAATCCATCTTACAAACCATAAATCCATAAAAATATATTTTATTTTTATTAAATTAAGTTTTCATTTTTACATTTTAAAATATTTGTATGTAAATATGTGTATAATTGTGTGCTTCAGTGTCTAAGTAAATGGATAAATAAATAAATCAATATACAATAAAATTGCTGCATGTGTCCCATAGGAGCACATGTTCAATCATGAAGGTACAAAACCTTACAAATGTGAGGTATGTGATTACTCCAGTGTTTACAAGAAGGACGTGATCCGGCATTCAGCCGTCCACAACAAAAGCAAGTAAGATCTCAAAATATCTTCTTTTTTATTGCTCACTCGTCATGACTTTTATTTTGTCAAACTCTTGAGGTCCAAAAAATTCCAAGCTGCATTGTGTCTGTCCCTTTATTAGTGTGCAGTTTATGAATATATAACATTTTGGATTCATTTAAAACTCACACCTGACATAATCTGATTAGAGTATTAATAAACGTTCTCGTTTCTTCTCTTTTAGGAGTCGGAAGACAGACGTGGTAAGGCTCTAGATGTTAAACATCAACAAACTTTTAATTGCCATGATGTATCAGTTCAACTTGGTTATGAGTGGTTTGATGAGGGTAGCTTTTTATGCGACAGCAGTCTTGCATAAATCCTTCACAGGTTCCCAAAGTGTCCGAGTTTCCATGCCCAATCTGCTGCCGTGTGTACCCCATGCAGAAACGCCTGACGCAGCACATGAAGACACACAGCACAGAGAAACCTCACATGTGTGACAAGGTAAAGTTCTTGTATGCTGCAACTAAGCATGTGCATATTGTTCATTAAACTAGTTTGGATGAATCAATGAATAAACCTAAGCAGACTGTAGAAAGCACTGCCTTATTGACATTTTTGGGAAATGCAGCCCAGGATATTTGCTATGCTAATACTAGTAAAAATGTGTTTGCTTTGCAGTGTGGGAAATCCTTCAAGAAGCGCTACACTTTCAAAATGCATCTTCTTACGCACATACAGAACTGTGGCAACAGCACGTAAGTGAGATGTCAGGACTCGGTGTACATGTCTGTTTCTCAAAAAAAAAAAAAAACTCTACCGGTAAACATACTCTATAGGTATCTATTTTTTCTCATCTTCTTTGTCAGGTTTAAGTGTGAGTTTTGTGAGTTCACCTGCAATGACAAGAAGCACCTGCTAAATCACCAGCTGTCCCACACCAACGACAAACCTTTCAAATGCGAAGAGTGCAAATACTCCACAAGTAAAGAGGATTTTCTGGTGTCCCACATTGCCATTAAACACACTGGTGAGTCATGTAACGATTAGGAATGTTTCAAATGTTGTCAGTTCGAAGGTTTCCTGATCAGTCATGTCTGTCCATCTTTACCCCCTGCTCAGGTGAAAAGCCCTTCTCCTGTGACATGTGCCACTTCACAACAAGACACAGGAAGAACCTGCGGCTGCATGTGCAGTGTCGCCACCCTGAGGCCTTCGACGAGTGGAGTCAATCCCACCCAGAGGAGCCAATTCGTCGACGCCAGACGCCCGTTTTCTCCATGCAGGAGATCGAAGAGCTGAAATTACAGCAAGAAACCCAGGGATTTCAGGGGACCATTGTGAGTACTTGGATATGCACTTCGACGCTTTCGTATTTAAATGGAAGGAAAACCAGCATCCATCCATCCGTCATATATAGACGTCTCGGTGCGTCTCTCAGATATCAGAGCTAAAATACTTCTTCAGTCACATTTACCACTATTTGAAACATCTATTAAATGTTTTAAACCTTGTACGGTTTGATATACGAATGAATGAAATAATCACCTTTTATTTGAGATTGCGGATGAAAAAAGATATTTAAATATTTATTTATCAGCATTGGGAAAGGTCCCCGAGCCAAGACAACGGCACTACATCTTGGAGCACTGCCTTCAAGACTATCGGCTCCGACAATTAGAAGATATTTAGATAAATGCTATAATTCTAATAAAATATAATGATTATATGAGATGTACAAGGCATGTTTTTTAAATTACAACTAATATATATATATATATATAATCTAAATATAATGTAACATATTTTTTTAAACCTAAAGGTTACAGTGGACCCCATTACGCTCCAAAACATGGAGTCCATTGGGAACACATCTATATCCCAAGATGCACTGGGAAACACTACCATCATTTACGAGCAAGGTTAGTAAAATGTGGTTGTAACCCATCTAAAATATAGTGTGTGATTATGAATTCATTTACACATATTTTACCATTCACCTCATGATATTAATATCCAGCTTATGGTGTTCAATTTAAACTGTACCTTCTTTCACAGCCCAGACTACAGACCTCTCAGCCCAGAATGCTCTAGATCTGTTGCTAAACATGAGTAACGCCAGAGAACTGCAGGTACTGCAATTCTACTGGAATTCTGAATATAGAATAATGTTATAAATGCCTAATTTATATGGCATTTATTGAATGAAGATGTATCAGTAAGTGAATTAATGTCATATGTAAAAGAGTAAGTCACACAAAACTGAACTACTTTGACTTTGAATTGTGCTTTTAATTGTTTAACTCACCCCTACAAAAAGGCACACCAGATGCTTTATCGTTAATTATGTAATGTTATAACAGTAATATATTTAGTAATTTCCATTGAACAAAACTGAATTGGACCTGTTATTTGAACGTGTAACAGACCTACAAGGCACAATGAACGAAAAATAATAATCTAATTTCACAATTTTATTGAGGTTGCTATATTTGTACCAAAACAATAGGAAATAAAAAATATTTTTGTGATAGAACATTACAAATAACTTAAAAGTTTAGCAGTATAGCAGAAACTATGCCACTTTGTCTGAAAAAACAAAAACAAATTGAACAAAAATATTGATTTGCTTATTAAAGACGTTAATAAATAATTACACAGGAATCATATCATCACATATCATATTAACATGAATCTATAAAATAATTTTAACATTATTTATTCATTATATATCTGTATTTAAAGATAAATCCTATAATATGTCTTGATCAGTGGATTCACTCTTGACTCTTCTCAGGTGGCAGTGCTGAAAACCGACGGTAAGACTCTGGAGACGGGAACGTGGCCCGGAGATGGCTCTGGGAGTGAGCCTCAAAAGATCGTCACCTTCCATGTGTCAGAAAACGGGGACACTCTGGTTCAAGAGGCTTTTGAGACAGCTACAGGGGAGGTGGAGCAAGAAGAGACAACTGGTGAGTCGCAGGAAGTGACCGAGATTGGCATCAGTACATACGAGGGAGCAGATTTCAGCGTGGTGGAGCAGGCCTCCGACGAGACAGAACAGAGGTACTACTTCACATCGAAAACTGCCACTGTAATGCCTATAAATGTCAGATAAACCCTTTAAGATGATGGCGTGTGTTTTTGTCAGCAGTTTAGAGGAACCCTCAGCAGAGCCTCAGGTCATGGAAGTGAGCACTGAGCCCTTGTCCATCTCTACACCTCTCAAAGAGAATAAAGAGAGGTTTTTCCTGAGCTCAGGCTTGACAGATGGAGTCCTGCAGCAGGTAGAGGTGAGACTAGGTTTTGCTACTTCACAGATGGAATAATTACCAATATTATGTTCTTTCCCAATGGAAAGTTAAATTGATGAAATTCTCTTTCTGCAGCTAAGCAGTGAAGCTCCAGGTTCCCCTTCCCTGTGTCCATCACCCCCTTCTCAACAGTTAAACACCAAACGCTTCTCCTGTCGCATCTGCATGGAGGCTTTCCACGGCCGCTCGGACATGGAGAACCACAAGAGGGCGCACATAGACCCCAAAACATTCAAGTGTCCAGACTGTGACTTTACAGCACCTTCTTGGCCAGAAGTCAAGGTGTGTTGGCCCTGTGGTATGAGTGTTAAGTCAGTGTCTATGATTTTTTTTCTTACCTGTCAAAAACCATATTTTTTGTGTTAAATCTTAGTCTCACATGGCCATGCACGCATATTTGAGGCCTCATAAATGCACCAGCTGCAGTTTTGCCTCTAAAAATAAGAAAGACCTGAGACGCCACATGATGACACACACCAATGAGAAGCCTTACGCCTGTCAGGTCTGCGGCCAGAGGTGAGAGAGCAAATGAGAAACCATCATTAAAATAATAATGGAATTGATTTATCACTGAATTTGTGCTGTGTACATTATTGGTTGTACTGTTGTACATACATAAACATTTTTTAATATTTGATGTAAACGACACGTATACAGACAGACCTCTGCAGCTTCTCAGTGCTCTGAGTTTCTCTTTTAGGTTTAACCGTAACGGCCATCTAAAGTTTCACATGGAGAGGCTTCACACTCAGGAACCCTCGCCCCGTAAAACCCGCCCTGTCTCCTCCCAGCAGACCATCATTGTTAACAGTGATGAAGAAGCTTTAGCCACACTACAGAGTAAGTGCTGACTTTGTGAAACTGCGTTTTGTTTATATAGAAATAATGGATTCACACACCCCTGTTCTGATTATTTGGCATAGTTTTGTTATGTTGTAAAAATTATGCTATTTTAAAGATCAAAACACTGTGTCTGAAACGGATTTGGTCTCTCTAAACTCCTTTCTGCAAGCCTACTCTGCTCTGATTGGTCAGATGGGTTGGTCTGTTGTGATTGGTTTACCGCTTACAGTGCGTGCCGGAAACCACATTCCCTTTACCATATCTGAATTTCAGCTCCAGAGACTTCCTCAGCACTTGTTTAGCCAATGATATGAACAGGAACGAACCATTATCTACATGTGCTGTCGAATATCCTGATATCCTAAAAAGCATAGTAGGGGCACTTTAAGCTTTTGTTGTTCTTAATTTTTTACTTGTTTTTCCCATGTTCTCCAGATCTGCAGGCAGGTCAGACAGTCATCAGTCCGGAGAGGTTGCAGCAGGCTTTGGGTCAGGAACACATCATTGTGACTCAGGATCAGTCGCTTTCTGACCAGGTATTGACGCAATTGTATCCTTTATTTAATTGACTCTTTTTGGGTAATTAAAGAACAGCTTAGTACATTTTAATTTGCATGAATACAGATAGTTTTGATTATTATCTTATTTCAAACTTCAGGTAGATTTAGGTTTCACGTTTAGCTTAGTTTTCTGACCAAATTCTACATTTCTCAGGAGGAGGCGACTTATATTCAGCAGTTCACAACAGTAGATGGACAGACGGTACAGCACTTAATGACTGGAGACAATCAGGTCACTGAGGTACAACTCAATTTCTAGGGAATTTTTCTGACAACCAGCTAAAGTCATAAACACTACAGCTTAAAAGTTTGGGGTTGGTAAGATTATTATTATTTATTTATTTTTCAAGAACGAAATTAGGTGATTAACAAAAAATGATCAGTTTCCATTAAGATATTCAGCAGCACAACTGTTTTCTGCATGGATAATAATAAGAAATGTGTCACCAAATCAGCATATTAGAATGATTTCTGAAGGATCATTTAAGACTGGAGTAATGATGCTGAAAGCTTTGCCATCATTGGAAAACAAATGCCTTTTTAAATAGAACATTTTATTTAAAAAAAGATTGTAAATAGAAAAGTTGTTTTCAATTGTAATAATATTTCACAATATGTCTATTTTTATAAAAAAAAAAATTAATTGAATAGAGTGAACACAAGACATTGCTTTTAAAAACATTTAAAAATCTTACCGACCCTTCATTTATATATAATATACATGGTCGTTTTCTGTTGTCTATTAGTTTTCAAGATTTACAATTCAATAGTTACAATTTTGGTGCCCTCTTCTACCCTATATTTTTCCAGGTCCAGTATATCATCTCTCAGGATGGAGTTCAGCACCTGCTCCCACGGGAATATGTGGTGGTGTCTGACGGAAACCACATTCAGGTTAGTATGTGCTCTTTAGATCATTCATAATAACCCCCGGGCTCCAGTTCCCTGGCTAGGAACAGGCTCATCTGATCTGTAACTACTGACTGGAAAGCATTTTCAGATTAATTCATGTAGCGTTGGACGTTATATTGTATCATTATGAAAAAAAAAATTCTGATTGTAAATTGCAGATGGAGGATGGTCGGATCGCTCACATTCAGTACGAGCATGATGGGACGTTTCTGCAGGAGCAACAGGTTGAGCCCAGATTTTACATTTTATCTTAGTTTGTGCTACATTATTGGCATGTCTGAATTACAGTAAATACAACATGATAACTTGAAATAATTTCTTTCTACGGCAATGTTCATAATGCCAAATGGCATATGCGCCATTGTTGTTAATGACAGCATATTAAACATCTTTAAGTTATTTAATGAAGTGGCATAAATCAAAAGTATGCTACTGTTTAAAAGTTTGGCATCTATAAGACTTTTGATGTTTTTGAGTGATTTTTTTTTTTATCTAATGCTCACCAAGGCTGCATTTGTTTAATCAAAATGCAGCATTGTGAATTATTATCTTTATTACAATTGATTTTTTTAAATTCTTTTTTATAAATGTAATTTATTCCTGGGAGGGCAACAATAAATGTTTAGCATCATTACTCCGGAATCTTTTGATCCTTCAGAAATCATTCTTATATGCTGATTTGGTGCTACTTCCTGATTATTAGCAAAGTTCAAACACAGTTGTGCTGCTTAATGCACAACTTTTTTTGTTTTTTTAATTAGAAACAGTGATATACCGGTACTTTTTTTAGGATTCTATGAATTGAAAGTTCAAAAGAACAGCATTTATTTCATAAAAATGTAAAAGTCTCAACTGTAACTTTTTGATCAATTTAATGCATTACTAATTTGAATCATTTATTTTCTCAAAACAGAAAAAAGAAAGAAACTGACCCCTAACTTTTGAACGGAAGTGTAGACGTACATTACCTAACTGGCTTCAACTGTGAAAATGGAGAAACTGGTTCATGTGTAAATGTCTTCTGTGTTTTTGTCAGATTGCTCTGTCTCAGGATGGACAGATCCAATACGTCCCCATCACTGCCGAACAGCAGGTTGTGGCCCCCGAGGACCTGGAGGCAGCGGCTCATTCAGCTGTCACTGGTAGGACATTTCACCTTTTACCTTAGTAGTTTTGATCACTCGAAATGCCAAGACAGAACGTTGTATTACTTCAACCTTTTGGTAATGTGCAGAAGAATCAGAGGTGATGTAAGAAGTGTTTGTGTGTGTGCGTGTGAAGCTGTTGCAGACGCAGCCATGGCTCAGACTCAGACGGTTTACACCGAGGCCACACCTGAACAACTGGAGCAGCTGCAACAACAGGGCATCCAGTATGATGTCATCACTTTTACTGAGGAGTAAAAGCAAGACACACACAACACCGACACACAAGCGGCTCGTCTCGGTTACAGATGAGTGCAGTGGACATAACAAACTCTGACGGGTTATTCCACAGGCTTAAATTTGTCTTCTACCAGAATTATTTAGTAAGAGGGTGAATGTACAGTTAGATTCTCTCTGCAAATTATACAACTCATGCCACTGTAAATATTTAAAGCATTTAACTTTGTGTGCCTACAGTGTTTTTGCCTTGTAAAGAAAAAGAAACACGTAAGCCAGGAGCAGTCTGTATAGAGAATCCTGTATTTAATTCTACTTAATAATGTCGCTGTGATGTACTACTCTAGATGCTACTTCAATGACAGTGTGTAACGGTAGACTGGAGGATTGACGTTTACATTGTTATGAAAGGACGGTTGATCATTTTTCATTTTATGTAAAACATGCCGTTTCATCTTTTTAATTTTTAAAGATTTATTTTTCTTTGAGATGGCTACAGAAATTAACTTAAAATGCATACCAAATAAATCACAACCTCTTTATCTGAACCTATCGTTGGTTTCCTTGGTGTCGTCATCCTATCATATTCTACATAGTATGACATTATTTACTCTTTGGGTATATTATTGAGATATCTTACACATGAATGCCAAGCTGTGTCAGGTTAAAAAAGGTTCAGATGAACTCGTGATCAAATCACTGCATTTTGTCTGCTCAGTCCCAAAAATCAGCTCCATCCAACAGCTAATTAAAAGGTTGGCTTTTTCCATTTGGTTGTGACATGAGCTGTAAAGTTGTGTAACTTTGTAGAGATATGGTTGATAAACTAACATGTGTGAGGCATTTGTTAAGCTCCCATTGAATGTTCATTACAGTAAATGCTATTTTTATGTTTTTACAGGCTTAATAAGGGTGGAGTCAGCATGATTTTCTGTTGTAAGCAATTGCTTTCTGAAGATTCAGTAAGTCTTAAATTAACACAGAATATTAAGTTTACACCATTGGTTAAGTTTCTGTGGTTAAGTACCAAAATATCTGATTTTTGTTAATGGATGACAGGCTTGATTAAAAATGTGAACATCATCATTTGACAGCGAAAAAGGGCAATAGTTCCTGTTTTTTCTTTCTTTCATTTGTCGGTCATGGTCTTCTTTTTTTTTTTATCTTGCTTGTTCCTCAATTTGTGTTTTTTACGTTTTACAATTTGTTCAAAAGAGCCAGTCAATGGAAAATATTGAAGGAAAATGAAGCTGATTTTGTTTCTTCTGGTCCTCTTGAAGAACGGTGAGAATAGTTCTTTGTTTTTATGTTTATTTTAGAAGATTATAGTGTTCCATCGGACATTAGACTGAAAACATTTCTTGGATTTTATTTATTTCCATATTTAAATTAAATGGCAAGATTCTAGTCTGATTCATCTTTCATTTGAATCATGTTTATGGATTAACCTTAATAATTTAATTAGTACTTTAGTACTAAATGTACCTAAACTTAATGTATTTATATTAATTAAATAAAAAAATAATTTCATAATTCTCATAATAATATTACACATATAATAATAATAATAATAATTTTAAAACAACTAGGCTATAAAAGGTAGAATTATGTTTATAATCTCTATTTTAAAACAAGAGAACATTAATGTTCAGAAAATGTTTTTCAGGAATGAATCCAGCCGAGGGACTCCGTGCGAATTATTCATCTGAGCAAATTATTTTAAATTATTCATTTGACCCGATTTTTAATAGTTATGGAAAAGTTTGCTGTAAATTTGATGAGTCGGTGTGCTCCACCTTTGTGAACAATAGCGGACAATACACTCCCCTGTATCGAGGAAGAATATTCATCAACAATTACAATGGAGAATTTGAAGTAAGAATTACAGACCTGAGTGTAATGGATACTGGCATGTACAGCTGTGGTTTCAGCTGGTTTCCTAAGACCTTTGAAAGTGTTGAAGTTACATTTTCTGGTGAGATTTTCTTTTTATAATATAATGTATTTTTGCATACAATAAGTGTTGATAATTATTTTTGTAATCAAATAATCAGTATTTTATGGGCTATGTATTAATATAAAATATTAATATAAAAATGTAAATATATATATATATATATATTTTTTTTTTTTCCACAAATTTTCTTAAAAGATCTCAGTGGAGTAACCTCAGCTCCTCTCTGGCCAAAATCCTCCATCAAGCCAGACGTCTGGCCCTCTTCTCCCTCTACACCCATTGTTTCTGAGAACGACGCAGAGAAACTCAGGTAAATGTTGTCACAAAGCCTATCAAGATCTAAAAATACCAATTCTTAAAGGGACAGTTCAGCCCCAAAAAACTCCACTGATGGAAAAGTCATACATATTTGAAATGACATGAGGGAAAGTAAATGATGACAGAATTTTTTTTAACGAATTTAATCTTTGATATTAATATGACAAACATAACATGTTTGACAGCTGCAGAACATCCATCATCCTACTTGCTGGTTTCAGTCTTATGGTGTTTGCTGCCGTCTTAGCAATTCTGCTTGTGTTCTTTCTAAAGAATCGGAAGAAACAATCCAAAGGTTGGTTGCAATTTTGAGAATCAATGGCACTAATTTTGATTTGTAAATATAACGGCTGAACATAATCCGTGCTTTTCTTTGTACACTCAGATACATCTGGAACTTGCAGTTCTCTCAACACCAGTTTGGTAAGCAGTTCGTGCAAATTTTTTTCATCCGTCTAGTGGCTGGCACTGCGGTTATTTCGAAACATCATAAAACCCATGTCCTGTAAATATGGTTCACTTTGCTTCACAGGAAGTGACGTATAATCCATCTAATGGATTATGTTACTATAATTTTTGTCATGTAATTTATAATCAGTAACTACAATTTGAATTCTACCCAGCGCTGAAAATAGGTTCAAATAAAAACTCTCAGATATAATCAAATCACAATCCAATAACTTTTGTTTCAGATTACCCAGGTTCAGTATATCAACTTTCAGGGAGGAGTTCAATATCAAATTCCTCAACAGCTTGTTATGGAATCTCAAGACAACCAAATTCAGGTTAGCATTGCTCTTTAACACAGTATATCCATAACTGAAAAATCGGAATCCCTAATAAATGATTTCCAGCATAATTCTGCAGGAACGGTAGGTGTAAGTTGTAGCTTTATAATAATAGTACTGTTTTGTCTATTTCTTTTGTCAAACACACTCTATATGACTTACTGTAAACAGATTAAATACCAATCATATTTATGCCATATGCAACTTTATGCCAATCATATTCAATTTAAAAATGCTTTTGAAGCTTGTAACAGCCTCAGATGTTAGGCTATGTTATCAATAAAACAATATAAAGTCTGATTGTGATTCTCTTCTTAGATGAATCATGGACAAATCGCTCAAGACGAATATGAAAATGATGATTCTGCAGAAACATCAGGTTGAACGTAAAGCAAATCACACCAAAAAGCATGTTTAAGTCATTTCTGTGTCAATTTATTGATTTACATTATGTTCTCAAAATCGCCAAACATGTATGACTTTTAACCATTTTCCCAATAAAGTTGTATTAATTTAAATGTTCTGACAACAGAATAATAAATTCTAGAATGTTCTCAAATGGAAGAAAGATGATTGAGGGATGAAAGCAACACTTGGAGACCAGAGGTGATGTAAATCAAAATGGGGTCCATGCAGGCACCCTCAATGGGGCTGCATGTGGATACAAGGCGATCTGCAAAAAGTTCAGATACAGATAGTGAGAGTTAAAAGTATAAATAAGACATTTACTAAATATGACATCACCATTTCAGTCGAAATGCGGGTTGGAAATCATGAGATTAATCACACTTATTTTATTGTATTGACATCACTGTAAACCCAAATTTTGTTTCTAAGTAAACTTACGAGAGATCATTACTTATTATTTTATGTTTAGTAAAAACCTGCTATCATTACTAAACAACATTAGTTGTTTGTATTATTTAGCTGAAAGATTCATTGCAGTTATCAGGTTTAGCAGAGAACTTTTAACCGAGGCACAGGCCTCGGCAGCAGGCGGTATTGAGTTAATAGAGGTTTAGATGTCGTTGAATTATTGTTTAATTTGTAGTCACCCTAATGGTGATGAGTGTTGGCTTTAGTTGGGCTCTCCTTGACATTTGAACATTAGATTTTATGCCGGCTTTACCTGTGTTTAAAAGGCACACTTGTTACAGCAAAAAAGCCAAGATTTAATTGATCCGATGATGACTGCATATTGATGGTGTCAACAATAAAGATTATAAGTCATTAGCACCTCATTTCATCTAAAGTTTAATCTCTTATTGTCTGGACCTTCCATGTGATTGATAAGAAAGCCCTGTGATTTATACAACAGGAAAGCCAACAGAATTGTTATAATTTGAACAATTGTTGAAAACATTATGCAGGATTTTATTTTAAAAATGCCATGTTATTTTGTCACACATAGACAGCAACAATCAGCATATGAATCTCAACAATGGTGACACTTATGATCAACTAATGATTTTCAGTAAAGACTACAAATGTAAACTTGATTTGTGTACTGCACCCACTTAAGATTATATATTCATACAACTCAACATGTTTAGTTTCAGATTGTGTAAAAACTAAAGTGGTATGGGCAACGTGTTTCCACATGATTTGCGAGTCAACTATTTAATACTCTTAATGGTGGATACAACAAAATATATTGACTTAGATTATATAAAATTGGATATAATTTTGTGCAGAAGACATAACAGGTTTAAGCATTACGGTTTCTCATATGCTACTGAGAGAGCATCACAGTTATTTTATGATGTGTTCAAAACCATGCCACCGATGGCCAAATATATTATTGAAATCATAATGTTGAATTTGTACTGTTAGTGGTTGTATCTGGTTTTCATTTCTTGAGGCTTGATTAACACATTTGGAGAACATCATTTTAGGAAACAAGGCCACACTTCCTTTTCTGTCAGTTGTTCGTCATGGTCTTATATTTAGATAGTTTGTTCCTCAATTTGACAAAAGAACTTCATAGAGCTCGCCGAAGTCAGTCCAGATTTTTAGAGAACATTTGAACGATTGGAGAGGAAAATGAAGCTGATTTTCTTTCTTCTTGTGCTTTTGAAGAACGGTGAGAATGGGTCTTGTTTTTTCTGCTCTTTTTAAAAGATTATTGAGCAAAAGCATCGATTGTAATTCTCTATTTAAATTTGATAGCAGATTTTTAAAAAATACATCTATTTTAGGTCAATTTAAAAATGTTTATAGACTGATTTTTATGAAATTCTTTTATTTTAACTTAAATCTTTTTTTTATCATTTCAAGAATAAAATACAATATTTCAAGCAACAATGAACAATGATATTGTGTATATAATGTACATTTTAAAATGAGAGAACATTAATGTTCAGAAAATGTTTTTCAGGAATGAATCCAGCCAAGGGACTCCGTGCGCTTTATTCATCAGAGCAAATTATTTTAAAATATTCCTTTGACCCGATTTTTAATAGTTATGAAAAAGTTTGCTGTAAATTTGATCAGTCGGTGTGCTCCACCTTTGTGAACAATAGAGGACAATTATACAATCACCTGAATCTAGGAAGAATATTCATCAACAATTACAGTGGAGAATTTGAAGTAAGAATTACACACCTGAGTGTAATGGATGCTGGCATGTACAGCTGTGGTTTCAGAGGGGTTTCTTGGTCCTTTGAAAGTGTTGAAGTTACATTTTCTGGTGAGATTTTATTTTTATAATGTAATGTATTTTTGCATACAATAAGTGTTGATAATTATTTTTGTAATCAAATGATCAGTATTTTATGGGCTATGTGTTGGTCATACTCATTTGAAAGTTGTATTTAAATATTAGTTAGTTCACATTTAAAAGAAAAAAATGAATATAAAACTGTAAAAAGAAATTGTATTTTCCACAAATTTACTTAAAAGATCTCAGTGGAGTAACCTCAGCTCCTCTCTTGCCAAAATTCTCCATCAAGCCAGACGTCTGGCCCTCTTCTCCCTCTACAACCATTGTTTCTGAGAACGACGCAGAGCAACTCAGGTAAATGTTGTCACAAAGCCTCTGAAGGTCTAAAAATTCCAATTCTTAAAGGGACAGTTCAGCCCCAAAAAACTCCACTGATGGAAAAGTCATACATATTTGAAATGACATGAGGGAAAGTAAATGATGACAGAATTTAGGTTTTTTTTAACAAATTTAATCTTTAATCTTTGATATTAATATGACAAACATAACATGTTTGACAGCTGCAGAACATCCATCATCCTACTTGCTGGTTTCAGTCTTATGGTGTTTGCTGCCGTCTTAGCGATTCTGCTTGTGTTCTTTCTAAAGAATCGGAAGAAACAATCCAAAGGTTGGTTGCAATTTTGAGTATCAATGGCACTAAATTTGATTTGTAAATATAATGGCTGAACATAATCCGTGCTTTTCTTTGTTCACTCAGATACATCTGGAACTTGCAGTTCTCTCAACGCCAGTTTGGTAAGCAGTTCGTGCATATTTTTTTCATCCATCAAGTGGCTGGCACTGCTGTTATTTTCGAAACATCATAAAACTCATGTCCTATAAATATGGTTCACTTTGCTTCACAGGAAGTGACGTATATTCTGCAGAACAACAGAACAATCCATCTAATGGATTATGCTACTACAATTTTTGTCATGTAATTTATAATCAGTAACTACAATTTGAAATCTACCCAGCACTGAAAATAGGTTCAAATAAATATTTTTAAAACTCTCAGATATAATCAAATCACAATCCAATATCTTTTGTTTCAGATTACCCAGGTTCAGTATATCAACTTTCAGGGAGGAGTTGAATATCGAATTCCTCAACAGCTTGTTATGGAATCTCAAGGCAACCAAATTCAGGTTAGCATTGCTCTTTAACACAGTATATCCATAACTGAAAAATCGGAATCCCTAATAAATGATTTCCGGCATAATTCTGCAGGAACGGTAGGTGTAAGTTGTGTAGCTTTATAATAATAGTACTGTTTTGTCTATTTCTTTTGTCAAACACACTATATGACTTACTGTAAACAGTCTAGGATTAAATACCAATCATATTTATGCCATATGCAACTTTATGCCAATCATATTCAATTTAAAAATGCTTTTGAAGCTTGTAACAGCCTCAGATGTTAGGCTATGTTATCAATAAAACAATATAAAGTCTGATTGTGATTCTCTTCTTAGATGAATCATGGACAAATCGCTCAAGACGAATATGAAAATGATGATTCTGCAGAAACATCAGGTTGAACGTAAAGCAAATCACACCAAAAAGCATGTTTAAGTCATTTCTGTGTCAATTTATTGATTTACATTATGTTCTCAAAATCGCCAAACATGTATGACTTTTAACCATTTTCCCAATAAAGTTGTGTTAATTTAAATGTTCTGACAACAGAATAATAAATTCTAGAATGTTCTCAAATGGAAGAAAGATGATTGAGGGATGAAAGCAACACTTGGAGACCAGAGGTGATGTAAATCAAAATGGGGTCCATGCAGGCACCCTCAATGGGGCTGCATGTGGATACAAGGCGATCTGCAAAAAGTTCAGATACAGATAGTGAGAGTTAAAAGTATAAATAAGACATTTACTAAATATGACATCACCATTTCAGTCGAAATGCGGGTTGGAAATCATGAGATTAATCACACTTATTTTATTGTATTGACATCACTGTAAACCCAAATTTTGTTTCTAAGTAAACTTACGAGAGATCATTACTTATTATTTTATGTTTAGTAAAAACCTGCTATCATTACTAAACAACATTAGTTGTTTGTATTATTTAGCTGAAAGATTCATTGCAGTTATCAGGTTTAGCAGAGAACTTTTAACCGAGGCACAGGCCTCGGCAGCAGGCGGTATTGAGTTAATAGAGGTTTAGATGTCGTTGAATTATTGTTTAATTTGTAGTCACCCTAATGGTGATGAGTGTTGGCTTTAGTTGGGCTCTCCTTGACATTTGAACATTCGATTTTATGCCGGCTTTACCTGTGTTTAAAAGGCACACTTGTTACAGCAAAAAAGCCAAGATTTAATTGATCCGATGATGACTGCATATTGATGGTGTCAACAATAAAGATTATAAGTCATTAGCACCTCATTTCATCTAAAGTTTAATCTCTTATTGTCTGGACCTTCCATGTGATTGATAAGAAAGCCCTGTGATTTATACAACAGGAAAGCCAACAGAATTGTTATAATTTGAACAATTGTTGAAAACATTATGCAGGATTTTATTTTAAAAATGCCATGTTATTTTGTCACACATAGACAGCAACAATCAGCATATGAATCTCAACAATGGTGACACTTATGATCAACTAATGATTTTCAGTAAAGACTACAAATGTAAACTTGATTTGTGTACTGCACCCACTTAAGATTATATATTCATACAACTCAACATGTTTAGTTTCAGATTGTGTAAAAACTAAAGTGGTATGGCCAACGCTTTTCCACATGATTTGCGAGTCAACTATTTAATCCGTCCTTCGGATTAAATTATATTTTTCCGTCCTTCGGATGAGACGTTAAACCGAGGTCCTGACTCTCTGTGGTCATAAAAAAATCCCAGGATGTCTTTCGTAATAGCAGGGGTGTAACCCCGGCATCCTGGCCAAATTTGCCCAGTAGCCTCTGTCTATCATGGCCTCCTAATCATCCCCATATACACCAATTGGCTTCATCACTGTCTCCTCTCCACCAGTAAGCTGGTGTGTGGTGAGCGTTCTGGCGCAATATGGCTGCCGTCGCATCATCCAGGTGGATGCTGCACATTGGTGGTGGTTGAGGAGATCCCCCCTTCTATGTGAAGCGCTTTGAGTGTCCAGAAAAGCGCTATATAAATGTAACAAATTATTATTATAATTATTATTAATTATTAATACTCTTAATGGTGGATACAACAAAATATATTGACTTAGATTATATAAAATTGGATATAATTTTGTGCAGAAGACATAACAGGTTTAAGCATTACGGTTTCTCATATGCTACTGAGAGAGCATCACAGTTATTTTATGATGTGTTCAAAACCATGCCACCGATGGCCAAATATATTATTGAAATCATAATGTTGAATTTGTACTGTTAGTGGTTGTATCTGGTTTTCATTACTTGAGGCTTGATTAACACATTTGGAGAACATCATTTAAGGAAACAAGGCCACACTTCCTTTTCTGTCAGTTGTTCGTCATGGTCTTATATTTAGATAGTTTGTTCCTCAATTTGACAAAAGAACTTCATAGAGCTCGCCGAAGTCAGTCCAGATTTTTAGAGAACATTTGAACGATTGGAGAGGAAAATGAAGCTGATTTTCTTTCTTTTTGTGCTTTTGAAGAACGGTGAGAATGGGTCTTGTTTTTTCTGCTCTTTTTAAAAGATTATTGAGCAAAAGCATCGATTGTAAATCTCTATTTAAATTTGATAGCAGATTTTTAAAAAATACATCTATTTTAGGTCAATTTAAAAATGTTTATAGACTGATTTTTATGAAATTCTTTTATTTTAACTTAAATCTTTTTTTATCATTTCAAGAATAAAATACAATATTTCAAGCAACAATGAAATATGATATTGTGTATATAATGTAAATTTTAAAATGAGAGAACATTAATGTTCAGAAAAATTTTTTTCAGGAATGAATCCAGCCAAGGGACTCCGTGCGCTTTATTCATCAGAGCAAATTATTTTAAAATATTCCTTTGACCCGATTTTTAATAGTTATGAAAAAGTTTGCTGTAAATTTGATCAGTCGGTGTGCTCCACCTTTGTGAACAATAGAGGACAATTATACAATCACCTGTATCTAGGAAGAATATTCATCAACAATTACAGTGGAGAATTTGAAGTAAGAATTACACACCTGAGTGTAATGGATGCTGGCATATACAGCTGTGGTTTCAGAGGGGTTTCTTGGTCCTTTGAAAGTGTTGAAGTTACATTTTCTGGTGAGATTTTCTTTTTATAATGTAATGTATTTTTGCATACAATAAGTGTTGATAATTATTTTTGTAATGAAATGATCAGTATTTTATGGGCTATGTGTTGGTCATACTCATTTGGAAGTTGTATTTAAATATTAGTTACTAGTTCACATTTAAAAAAAAAATATATATATATATATATATAAACTGTAAAAAAATTGTATTTTCCACAAATTTTCTTAAAAGATCTCAGTAGAGTAACCACAGCTCCTCTCTTGCCAAAATCCTCAATCAAGCCAACCTTCTGGCCCTCTTCTCCCTCTACAACCACTGTTTCTGAGAACGACGCAGAGAAACTCAGGTAAATGTTGTCACAAATATTATCCCCTTAAAATTAAATTATAGTAACAGTCATTAATCTGTGTAACACAACATTAAGCAGTGACGGCTGGAAAACATCCTACACGCTAGCAGCTCTTTTAAGTGTTCTGGTGTTTGCTGTCGTCTCATTGACACTGATTGTCTATCGTCTAAAGACCAGGAAGAAAAAATCCATAGGTAGGTGCAATGGACGATGATTATGTTCAATTATCTAAACAATCTTTTGGGTTGAACATCACTTTTCTTTTTTTCTCCCTCAGAAATAAGTGGAACTTGTGGGTCTGCTAACACCACAATGGTAAGGAGTACATTCATTTACAATTGACGGATGTCTTTTATTTAGTCCTAGACAGATGTAATATATTTAGGTGTAAATTATAGATTATTTATCTTTATCTCCCACTTCCATAATACATTCTCCAGTCATACAAATAAGGTTTATTACGGGATAAAATTGACATTTGTTGACCGATGAGTTCGACCACAACTCGCATAATGCTTAATCTTTTCACTCCTTATTCATAATATCTCAGTATGCTGAACTGTAATCATCTTCATCATCTGTAAAAGCGAACAGCTTGAATATTAGAGATAGATGGATGATTTCTAGAATCAAACCCCGTCTGCTTAACTAACATCTCTCCACAGGAACAGAACAGCATCACCTACTCTATGGTGCACTTCAAGCCCCACCAGGATCCATCTGAACTTTATGCCAATTTACAGATACGCAGTCCAGGAGACACTGATCCTTCTTCAAACTGTACAGTCACAAAAGAGGGAAGTGTAATATACTCAACAATTTTGAGAGCACCAGCATAAACATTTGTGATGTTTGTTTTCTATAATATTTTCATTGTTTGTTGTTTTTGGCTGATCAATGGATATTTTTTTAGCATTTTGAGAACTATTAATGCAACACTGCTTGATGTGATATCAAATATAAATTATGATTAAAAAAATGCCTGAAAACCTCTGTGTGGTAAAAAAAAAATGTGTACTGTCTCTATAAAGCTAAAAAATAATTACTCTTTAGTCTCAAACTGTATATTGTTAAATTTGGGTGTTTGAGGGACAGAAAGGATAGGAGAAAGGAGACAGGATAACAATTTGTGATGCAATCATTATATTTACAGTAATTTTATTTTCTATGAATAGAGAACTTGAAATTGGTAAAAAAAAAAAAAAAAAAAAATTGGCAGCAATGGCATGACCCATCAGAATTCAGAGAGAGTCTTGGCATAGCATTGCAGAGAAAGGCGACAGAAACATCTATGGTGATTTCAGCCCCCACCCCCCTCGTTTAATCAAGAACATTCAAATCATTACAATCACTTTCCATAAATCAGGCCAATAAATTACAAAGTGACATTTTGTTGACCTATCCCTGTTGATCAGCCAGAAGCTCTCAGGCATGAAGAGAATTCCTTTGCATTCACTGAGAGATTGCAGAGTTTATAGGAACCATCTTTGAATAGATACTGCAATAGTTTTTTTTTTTTTTTTTTTTTTTGGGGGGGGGGGGGGGGGTTTCATTGAAGTGAAACTCAGATTGCCCCAGTCATACAGATCAACAGATGTAGACTGATAAAAAGAAGTGAAATTTTAAAAAAGAAGGGTCAAATGGTTATCTTCGATTCACACATCTCTAAACAGAAATAGAGGATGATTATTTTGTAACATTGACAGCAATGCTTCCCCATTCCTGTATTGCACCTATCTATTTAAAATGTTTATTCGTAAACATTTTTATGTTTTATATGTGCTAATGCATATGTCTTATCTATTATTTCTAATTTTGAAAGTATAAAATTGTTATAAATTTGTTTTTGGAGGTCTGGTGTATATATTTTGTCTCCAATATTTTGCTACCATTAGTATCATGGAAAACCGCATTGACATTTCAGTGTGTGGTGTTGACACCCTATAACGCATGTTGACAAAGATTATTTGTTTTATTTGTAATATTTTATTGTTGCATATATTTTTTATAGAAATTTAAAACATTTTATTTGAAATACTATAGCATTTTATACCATTTCTACAAGTATTTTGCTCTCTTTAATGCAAAAATATGGTATTCATAAAAAACCTTTTTATTAAGCATCAGATACCAGCTAACTAAAATATTATTCTAAAGATAACTTTACTAATGTTCCCATTAAGTTAAGAACATGTTATTTCTGAATGTACCGACAACAATAAAAACATCCAGTTTTAAAATCGATTTATCTTTTTTGGGTTAAATGAATGTTAGGAAACACTCAATTTTATAATTCTGCAAACATTATATGAATATTACTATTGAATGTTCTGAAGCAATAACATTTTAAAAAAAACATCAGACAAACATCAAACTAAACTTTTTTTTTAGAAAAGAAAAATCCATAAATTATTTGTAAATAAAAACAGAACATTATTAAAGACCAGCAAAAGGAACACTGTTGCTTGCTTGTGATCTTTAATACCATTTAAACTCACCTTGAGAATTAGGTGTGCATTTCAGAGAAAGTCAGGAGTGATTTGATGATAGTTAAAAACTCTTATTGTTTTAAATACATTTTTATCATTTTTTTCCCTTCATATTTGTTGACAGAAACATTAAGGGGAAGACATCAAAAAGTCTGAATGCATGAAAAGGTCCAGTTCACATTCACTTTTCACAGTTAAAAAAGCACAAAGACAATTCAGACTGATTATATTTTATTTACAATAAATAAGCCTTCAACATATTTACAGCATATTGAAGATAAATCATTCAGAAACAGACTCCCTCCTAGCACATTCCAAAACGTCTATACACAACATAAGGTGTAATCTGGTGATGAGACTAACTTTGCTTATACTATCAAGTGTACTGGATGCAAAGGTAAACCAGTGATTCAAAAGGTAGACCTTGCGCCGCTGTGAATAGGCCTAATGTATGTCTGCATTTCTACTGCAAAGTGCATGAGTGAAAATAAAACTGAGCAGAAAGGTGCTATGGCACTTGTTATTAATCTTCTTGTGCTATCCTGCTTTCAAGTATCCCCCTCCTCCATTCCTCTTTTCTTGAACTCTTTCCAGTGTTAAAAGTCTATGTTTTTAAAGTCGCTGCTGCAGCGATATCTGTTGTCGCTGTAGCTGATGCAGACCAGATGTGGCAGGCAGGGACAGGTGTGGTGTTGTCTCTTCCCGGGGAAAGGAAACTGCAGCGAAGTCAAAACACACGGATGACTTTATTAATCACATGATATTATAATTGATCAGCAATGCATTGATTAAAAACCATTTATAGCAACGCATTCTCACCCCAAGGCGTCACCTTTGACCATGCTTCAATATTTGACGTTTTAAGCGCCCTTTAGCGTCACTTACATGACTGGATCCTACGACGTCATCTAACTGACGCTAAAGGAAAGCGTCAGTTAGAGGACGCGGTTAGGTTTAGGTGTGGGGTGGGGGTAGGGTACACGCGATCATAGGGCGTCATCTAACTGACGCTAAAGGGCGCCTAAAGCGTCAGATATTGAAGCATGTCCAAATGCTTCCCAAGGCGTCAGTTAAGTGACGCCTTGGGGGTGAGAATGGGCTGTTTATAGCTACATTCAGATTAATAAATATAAAGATCTCTTTAAATAAATCTTTGCAGACGTTAGGTTAGCCAGTCAAGATTAGACATAATTCTTTAGGCGTAGGTTTCTTTTTAATGATCTTGTCCGTTTATTAGTCATCATTGAGTCACAAACACCTGCAAATCTGCTTTTCTTCACCTCATAGCCTACGCTGAATGCAAAGCTTCTGTATCAGTCTGAAACTGTCTGTCAGTGATAAACAGCCCTGATCTGTGAGACATTCGATCGATATCAGCTACACTTATCAGCAGATTCTTGTAAAGCCTTTCTCAGTCATTTCTGGCAGCAATCAGTTCAGATCTGCTGTTTAAAAAGCGATTGCATTCTTGAATCCGAATGAGTTTCTTTTCAATTTAGTGTTGCTGCTTGACCATCTATTGTCCGCTATCTCTGTTTTGCTATTTCTCTCTATTTCTCCTTGTCTATGTTTCTCTTTCTCTTCTGTTAACTGTTAACCTTGGGTCGAATCACAGCTTTGATTTGTACACTCTGTACAGTGTGTGTGTGTGTGTGTGTGTGTGTGTGTGTGAGTACATCTGCATACCTTGTGGCTGTAGGGGTGGCATTCGTCTCCTTCCAGCCCCTGTGGTGTGCACATACGCAGGCCTCGAAGCCACAGACTCACTGCACAGCACAGACCCACGCCACACTGCACATCCCTGTCACACGCCTGACACAGAACACAGAATACGTCAGTCACACAGGCCTGTCCTTGATTCCCAGAACATACAAGATTGCTTTGGCTTTGTTTACTTGCAAGATTACAATTTTGTACAAATTTTATAGTGTATTTTCTCATGGGTGATATTTTGTTGAGCTTATTTGAATTCTCCAATGACAAAAGCGCTAATGGCCGTAGTTGGTTATTGAATATTTGACTAATAAATAAGATTAAATGCCTTTCTCTGAATTTTTGTTTTTCTATATTTTTCCCTAAATGTTCAGACCATGTGATAGACCAGCAAGTACGGAAGCCCCTTTCTTGGTAAGTCTGTTTTTTTTAGGTGCACTTTGCAATATATTTATATGAAGCGAAAATGCTAGATGATTAGTTATATATGAGTTAAATGGAGAATATCAATTTAGGATGTTACTGATGGGGCTGTGAGAGTATTAAGCTAAAAAAGATGGGAAACCATGATTAAATAGGGGTTGGGATGAGAAAAACCCAATGGGATCTAAAATCTGATACCAAACTTTCCTTTCAAAAACATTTATTCTAATACAGTAAATGTAATCTGACACATTGGCTGACAGGCAAACAGTTATCAATTAAACAGCAAGCCTTAATAAACACAATGAAGGTGAATCATAAATAAACCGTATCCATTGGTAACACTTTAAGGTCTCATTTGTTATAACATTAATTCGCATTTATTAACCTATTAGTTAATACAAATATTCATCTTCACATTAGTTTACATTTATTCATTTAGCTGATGCTTTTATCCTTACAATTGCCTTATATGTCAGAGGTTGCATGCCTCTGGAGCAACTAGGGGTTAAGTGTCTTGCTCGGTCAGGGAAACATTGGTGTCTCACAGTGGATTCGAACCCGGGTCTTTACAGTGCATTAACTAACAAATACAACTTTTGATGTTAAAAATGCATTAGTAAATTTTGATATTAAAATGAACCTATAAATGCTGCAGTAAAATGTAAGTTAACAAATGTTAACAAATGTTAAACCTTATTGTAAATTGTTACCAATCCATTTTGGAAAATATATATATATATATATATATATATATATATATATATATCAATCAATCAATCAATCATTTATTTATAGAGCACATTTAAAACACAACCGAGGTTGACCAAAGTGCTTTACAAGGAATAAAAGAGACACAGATATAAAACTGCAATACAAACTTAAAACTAAATGAGACAAGAAGGCACTAAAAAAAAAAATATATTTTTTTTTATAATATATTTATATATATATAATATATATATAAAAAAAAACTTGTTTCACTATTAGTTATTGAAACCAACTGAACATTATTCATTATTATTATGTATAATTGCATAAATGAATGATAATGATAGTCCGACTTACCCCTGTGATGACGGCACATCTGCACCAGCTCAGGGTAAGCAGGAGCACGGACAGTATCAACACCCTGCTCATAGCAGCAGCAGCAGTGGGACAAACACCAAAAAACACTAAGAGCACCAACTATCTTTTTTCAGTCTTCTAAATCTCCCTATTGATATTTCTTCTGTCCTGCGGAGCTCCCAGTGGATTTTCTATGGCCCTGAGGAGACGATTTGACTTCTCTGCTGTTCTTAACCTTCTCTCAGAGTGTTGAGTCTTTGGTAACTTCTGAAATAAGGTCTGAGATCTGGCTCTGGCTCTCTCTCTTTCTTTCTCCAT